TCACACAATACTACTGGTCAAGCAGTTATAGAATGATCAAATTGAACTCTAAAGGATATGTTAAAAAAACAGAAAGTGATAATAAAGACTCCCATAAATAGATTGTATAATGCTTTACTAACTTTTAATTTTCTAAATGCTAATGAGAAAGGAATGACAGCTGCCAAGAGACACTGGATAATAGGAAAAAACCCTACAGAATTAAATCAGACAGTGCACTTTAAGTATGTGTTGACCTCAGAATGGAAACTGGGACATGTGTTAGTGGGGAAGGGCTTTGCTTTTGTTTCCACAGAAGAAAGCTATGGATATGTCAAAATTGATAAAGATTCAATTTCAACAAGATATTTTTTAATGAAAAGAGATGATAGTTCATCAAGCAGCATGGTCATTTAATTTAAACTGACATATACAATTAAATGCTTTTTATTTGATCAGATGTAACTTGCCAAAAGAGAACCTCCACAAAATTAGGGTTGGGGAAAGGTTTTGTTTCTGTCTTTTCAGGAGAATAAAGGTATCCAGCTAAGGAATCCAAAGACCACTGGACAAATGAGACATCCAAAGAAAAAGGACAAATCATCCAGAAAAAATGTCCCAAGAAAAAGAGTAAATTGGCCTATTGATACGTCACATTTCCAACAGGATAAAATTTCATAAATCTTCCCAAATGTTTGTTTCTGCTGTTCTCTACAGACATGTAATACAATGATCTTTTGTAGTCCCAGTCCAGTTAAAAATTAAAGCTGACTTTAGAGTTGGAGAGTGGCTCTCTCCTTCTATAAACCAAGCAAGCTTATTAAAGTGAAACCCAAAATCTCTCATGTCAGAAGAGCCACCTGATATGGGACAGAAGAAAAACCAAAGTTTAGGAACTATTATATTGCCACTAATCTCACAATCTTTTGGTTTTATTTTGAGTCTTTAACAGCTTTTCCTAAGGTATAAATATTATCTAAAATTTTATAAGATTAATATATATTTTAAAGTTTTTGTCAACTAATAATGGTCTTATGGAGTACTGACTAATTCTAGAAAAAGCATCCATCTACCTTCTTGTACATTATTTTGAGTATGAGTCTCTATCAGTTTTCTGCAGTGAACCATGAGCACACCTAACAGAGACTTTTGAAGTCTCAAAAAGAGAAGGGGCCCCACAATGATGATTCACCTGGACTATGGTAACACTACTAAACTGAAAACCACCACCTAAATATCGGCTTTGGGCTACAAACTGCTCAGAACAATTTCAAGGCACTCATGGATTACTCAGCCAGGAATGGAGACAAGACCTACACTTTCCCATCACGCAGAGCCTGGGCAACAAAGGACACAGCTCTCGCTCTTCTAGGACTTTTCTTTTCAGGATACCATCGCCCCCAGACAGCAGGAAGTAAATTTAAAAACATGATGCCCACATTACCAAGAGGAAGGTGTGGGTGGTTTTTGGTCTTTCATTGGCTTATAGGTATCTTTTATTGTTCAGGGGGATTGGTTACAAACTGTTATTGGTAATGGTCAGGAAAAAAGCTAAACAAATGAGATTAGATTCAGTGTTCTTGTTTTGAAAAGAAAAACAGGGATAAAGAGATGATAGGATAAAAGGGAAGATTATTGAATCCAGTCTAAAAAGAAAAAAGGGAGGATATAGATAAGATAAGAAAGGTAGATTATTGAAATTACTTCTAAAAAAGCAACTACTAGCTTTAAATATTTTACATTTGATTGGATTTTTGTATATTGTATAAAATTGTATATTGATACAAATTTTAAATTTTGTTAGAACACACTCTATTCATTTCTACTCTTGTTCAAAGCATTGTACCTCTACAGCTCATTTAACAATGTAATGCAAATTTCTAGCTCTTGGAAGTTATTATTACCAACTATTTAGGATAATAAGAAAATGCAGGTTAGTAATTAGTAATCTATTATAATCAAACTTGTAGTCATATTCGGAATGTTTTCAAGGTCGGGGATATATTTTAGAGAGACAAATCATTTTCAAACACTTCAGAGATCTACAGAATATGACATTTAAGATATTTTAATAACATAGATTCTTTTTTTATGACAATAAAACATGTCTGCTCCTGGCAGCACCAATCTACGTCAGAGAAGATGATGGGCACTGAAGAAAGTCCACATGGAGTTTACTTTCTCTATGGCAATAGTAGGCCACTGGGCAAGAAAGTGCCCTTCCATCAACTGCTTACGGTATGCTGGCCAAATTGGACAAGCAGGACACAGAAGAGAGTGACTGCCAAACCTTGTCAAGACAAGGCAGGAAGGTCCTTCAAAAACTGTGCTTCATAGAAAAATCTATCAGATATGCTAGGCCTGTAAGCGGAACATGTGTGCCCCAACCTTGTGTGACTGTCAAGGCAGCCGGCTCTTTTTGTCATTGCTCTCATTTTTTGGAAGTCACTTGTTTGCACTTTCTGCTTACTTGGTTAATATTATTTCCATTTCAGGTCTCTGAGGGAGTTGAAGACAAAACAGTTAACGTTTTCCTTGTTTACTAGATGCAGAAACTCGCTAAAGAGGTGTAAAGTGTAAGACTGAGAGATAAGATAGTTTTGAATGGTAATGCAAGTTAGGATAGAAAGCTAATTAGGTACAAGACTTTGAATTCACCAAGTTAGGACAGAAAATGGAGTACTTTCCCTGAATTTGTCAATTGCAAATGGACTAGACATTGTTGATATATTCATAGATTATAAATATTGTATATAGTTATTGTACTTATTGTATATAGTTTTTCTTCTATTATAGCCTTCTTTTATTTTTGACAAAAAAGGAGAAATGTTGTGATATTTTGTTTGTGTTTTAACAAATAAAGCTTGCCTGAAGATCAGAGTACAGAGCTGAGCCACTAGAGGCCAGGTGGTGGTGGTTTACACCTGTAATCCCAGGACTTGGGAGGGCAAAGACAGACGGATCTCTGTGAGTACACGAGATTGACTCTCTCTAGAAGAGAAACAGAGCTCACACAAAGGTGATGCCAGCACTTGGGATTCCGCACCTTTAATCCCAGCACTAGAGAGGTGGAGACAGAAATGATATGATTGGGTGGAAAGAGGAATATAAGGTGGGAGGAGACAAAAACTCACTGCAGTCTCAAATTTGATGGAGACGAATGCAATCTGAGGACAGGATCAGCCCTTTAATCTGAGCTTTGGTAGAGGCTGCCGCTCTGCTTCTCTGATCTTCAGCATTAACCCCTATATCTGACTCTGGGTTTTTATTTTAACACCCATTAGAGTTTATGCTACAAATCATGTCTCTCAATAACACAGCTGGGATAAGCACCATTGGGTATGTGATACTGCCAGTGTGAAAAGTTCAATGCGATCAAACAAACAAACAAACAAACAAACAAAATTAGCTAGGCAGTGGTGGTGCATACCTTTAATTTTAGCACTCAGAGGGCAGACACAAGTGGATCTCTGTGAGTTCAAGGCCAGATGGGTCTACAGAGTGAGTTCCAGGACAGCCAAGGCTACACAGAAAAACCCTGTCTCAAAAACCTAAAACACAAAACTCCACATAATAGATATGCAAGAACTGCTTTCAACATCTCATTATGATCAGACTGTCCTTGAAGTCATAGAGAAACACCTCCCTCTGCCTCCCAAGTGCTGGGATTAAAGGTGTGTGCCACCATGCCAGGCTAGAATAGGTAATTTTTATATTCTCTATGCCACCAGTGACTTTCAAACCTTTTTTATTTTTTACCATGTTTTCACATTGATGATTTACATGTATATGTGCAAGTACATTGTAGTTATTCATTTTTACTCTTTTCTCTTTTGGGGGCCCACCACCCAGCTCCCAAATAAATCACACACGAAAATTCACTCTCACTTATGGGATGCCTGGCCTTATCTTGGCTTGTTTCTTGCCAGTTTTTCTTAAATTATCCCATCTACCTTTTGCTTCAGGGTCCTTATCTTTCCTTATTCCTGTATACCTTTCCTTTCCTTCTTACTCTGTGTCTGGCTGTGTAACTATGTGGCTGGGCCCTGAAATCCTCCTCCTTCCTCTCATTCCCAGATCCTCATATCTCTGTCTCCCAGATTTCTCCTCATATTAATCCTCTCTGTCAGCCAGCCTCGCCTATTTCTCTCTCCTGCCTCGCTACTGGCTGCTCAGCTCTTTATTTATCACGTGTTTTAGAAAGGCACAGTAACACAGCTTCACAGAGTTAAATGCAGCATAAACAAAATTTTTTAAACTAATATTCCCCAACAGTGTGTAAGAACACACCTGACACAGTGATTAAAGGAAAGCACTGATGATTACTCTCTACTGGTTCACACAGGGAAAAAAGATCTGAATTATCTTCTCAAGCCGAGAATCTAAAATGTCATCAAAATAATAATGAATGCATATAACATCAATGGATATAAAATCCCTGGGTGAAAGATCACACAATGTCAAAGAATCAATCTGTACACTTTCAGTTAAAAGAGAAGACTCTACATCCAAGTCATCAAATGTGTGATGCTGTGGAGTCGGCTGCCTGTGCCTTTTTGTCACCCAGTTAACAGTGCAGACCGTCTGCACAGTTCTAATGCATCCACTGAATCACTTGAGTTATTGTTGTACACACCAATATCTAGAATTACTTTTATATTTTTGAAAATGTTCATTATCTGGCCATAATGGAAGCATTAACAAAGGGCTGGAGAGATGGCTCAGTGGTCAAGAGTGCTTGATGCTCTTCTGAGGACTGGGTTCAGTTCCAGCCCAGGTCAGGAGGCTCACAGTGTTTCTAACTCTAGCTTCAGAGAATTCAGCATCTCTGGCCTCCACAGTCCCCACCCACCGCAAACTCATACATATAAACAAAGATACGTGGTTTTTTTTTTTTTACAAAATCATTAATATATCTGGTGAATAAATTTTTGCTTAAAAATAATATAGCACATTTATTCTTACATTGTATCTACTCCAAATGTAACTATAAAGAAAACTTTCAAATAATAAAAACATACCTGGTATTTGGCTAATTCTGCCTGTAATACTTTCACTTTAGACCTTTCTTGTTCCAATGCGGCATGAAGCGAGGTCACCTAGAACCAAATAATCAGTACATTAATTCTGAACATATTCAGTTTGATAAAGTCTGACAGCTGTCAGTACCAGAGATGCCCTCCCTTCCCATGGTTCCCAGAGACACTGCAGTGAGCACAGACAGGAAGAGAGACCCACTCCAGGGACAGTGTGAGCTCTGCCTGCTGCTGGTGTTCTGTCCACTAACTCACAACCTTCACCCTCAAACTCTCCAGGACACGCCTACCATCTTTAATACAATAAGCAGGAACTTTCTTTGCTAGTACACAATAATAACAAACACTTTCCATTGCTTTTTCACCTGCTTAACGGGCAGTATTTCTTTTGTGGGGCCTAACAAGACCTCAGAATAGCACAAAACGCAGTCAACATCTCCCAAAGCCGCTCACCTGGACCGTCAGCTCATTCTTGATACTTTGGGATTCATCAACTTGCAGGAGTATTTCTGCCTTATCTTTCACTGCGGGAAAGGAAAACAGCATCGTCACCATCCCAGTCACTCAGTGCTGAGAGACGAACTTCAGGACAGAGCAGTAAGAACACCGGCTTATCCTCTTTGCTCCATGGATGTTCTTCTGGTCTTATTTCTCACTAGTAAATTCTGGTCATTGTTACAGCAACAATGTTTTCTTTTTAAGTAATTTATATTTTTCTGAAATATCAGCTGCATAGACATGGTGATTAATTTTTCAATTTATATAACTGGGACAGGTATATAAGAAAACTGAAAAATTTTAAGGAAAAGTGAAATATCTTGAGCATTTATCTATTTATTAGGTCATGTTCTTATTTGTGTGTGTGTGTGTGTGTGTGTGTGCACTTGCCACGCCCACGTGTCAAGATAACTAATCACAGTCCTTTCATCACAGCATACAAGTTTCAGGGATCCAACTCAGGTTTACGACGTTTGGCAGCTTGGCTTTACCTGTTCAGCCATCTTTCTACTTTGTAGCCCAGAATGGTCCTTGGACTTCAACTGCTCTTGCCCCAGTCTCCAAGGTGCTGAGCTTACAGACACAAACCATTATACTTGGCTTCTTGGCTAATCTTAAAACAAGATTTATTTATTTTTCTTTTTTTGTGGGGAGGGATCTCATCACTGTGCAGCCTTGGCTGGCCTACAAGTCAGAGATCCGCCCACCCCTTCCTCCAGAGTGCTGGATTAAAGGTGTGCTCCACCATGCCCGGCTTGGTGCAATAATGTGTAAGAACTAGAAACTCAGCACTCTTACCTGAATAGTGGCCAGGTGCTTTAAGAGGCCTTATGGTGGAAATTTTAAAATAAACTATCCAATTTGTATCCCTCTGAGGAATTGTGTGTGTGTGTGTGCTGATAAAACATGGAACTTGGTGATTTGTTTTCAGATATTAAGATTACCTTTAAATCTAAACACTGCACAAAGGCTGAGTGCAGTGCGCACGCCTCTAACCCAGAAACCTGAGAGAGAGGTAGAGGACAGGGGATCTCTGTGAGTTCAACACCAGTCTGGTCTACATAGCTTCAGATCAGCCAGAGCTGCACAGCAAGACCCCATCTCAAAGAAGCAAACAAAACAAAGAAAACAAGGCTGGTCTTATGGAGAACCCCGGTTCAACTTCCAGCACCCACATGGAGGTTCACAACTGTTGTGACTGCAGTTCTAGGGAATCCATCCTTCTCTTCTTGTGTCTTTGGGTACCAGCTATGCTTACAATGCATACAGTACATATACATACATGTAGGCAAAACAACAATACACATAAAATAACTAAACAAACAAAAAAAACCCCTAAAAACATGTGACTCACTTACTTTCTCCTTCCTGAAGCATTTTTAATAATTGTCCATTTCTTGCTTTTACTTCTTTATACTTTGCCTAATAATCAAAGAAAAGAGATTTTAAGTATTTAAAAGTAAAGGTAAATTATGGTCTACTTTTAATTTACGGGCTGTATATTTAAAAAATAAATCATTTAGAAAGTAAACCGAATGGAGGAAGATGTAATCAGAACTACTTAATAAAACCTCAGAAAACGTAAAAGGGCCAACACGATGGTTTAGAGGGTAAAGCCTGATGATGTGAGTCTGAGCCCTGAAACCCACAAAAGTGACTCTGGAGAGCTGAAATCTTCGTGTGTTGTGGCATTTGTGCGCATGCAAACACACACACACACACACACACACACACATATAATAAAATTAAACTTAAAAAATTTCAAAGTAGTAGGGGTAAAAAGTGAAGTCAGAAAAATATTAAATTTTTTGAAGGGTTTTCTTCTTTCTTCCCAAATAAAAACTTTAAATAAATCCAACTAATTTCAATAAAAATCAAAAGAAAAGGGCTCCATCTTTTTACTGGACTGCCCTGCGGTTCTACACCGCCACTGTCAGGCACAGAGCAAGTGGCACTACCTGACTTTTTAGCTCCTTTTCCAATGGCTGGCTCTTCTCATCCTAACGAGCAAAACACCATAATTTGTGAATAAGAGGAGCTGGGCTCCCACATGGACCACTTGAATTTTTGATAATTATCTCCCCAGTCTTCATTGGATTGATCCATCCTCCCTCCCTCCCTCCCTCTTCTTCTTCCCTCCTTCCTTCCTTCCTGGCCTCAAACTCACAAAGATCCACCTGCCTCTGCCTCTGCCTCTCAAGGGCATGCCTCTCAAAGGCATGCACCACCACAGCCTGGCTGGAACATTTCTTTTAGTATTCTGAAATACTTTCAAACACTAATAACCAATTATTGAAAACAATAGCCTAAAAATATCAGTGTAAAAAACCTCTTTCTCTCTCTCTCTTTTTTTTCTCTCAGAACAAAACAAGTATGTGAAAGATTTACCAGTTTTATTTTTTATTTCTATAGTGTTGGAGTCCAACCTAGGGCCTCACCAAATACACAAAGCAAGGAGCTACCACTGAATGATGCCAGAACCCAGTGGATTTAAATATATTTTATTTTTATTTATTATTTTGAGGGGGGGGAGTTAGACAAGGTTTCTCTGTGCAACAGCCCTGGCTGTCCTGTATAGTGGGTTGGCTTCAAAGTCACAGAGATCCACTTGCCTCTGCCTCCCTAGTGTTGGGATTCAAGGCATGGGCCACCACTGCCTGGCTATAAATATGTTTTAAATTCTATAAAAAGTGATTTTTTTACTAAATAGTACTCTATCCAATTAAATTGCTGATAATGATTATTTGCTAAGTAATACTGTAGTCCACACAGGGAATTGAAGTATCTGCTATAGTAAATACAAAGAGAGTAAAAAACGCTTAAGAAATTGAGATGAATCGGGCAGTGGTGGCACACACCTTTAATCCCAGCACTTGGGAGGCAGAGAGAGGCAGGCGGGTCTCTGTGAGTTTGAGGTCAGCCTGGGCTATGGAACTAGCTCTAGGACAGCTGTTTCAGAGAAACCTTTTCTCGAAAAAACAAGCAAAAAACAAAGAAAGTAAGAATTTGAGATGAATGAGAGATGCTGCACACACCAGCGCCAGAACCCTGGCAAGCCCACAGGATCTCAATAAGTAATCCGTGGACTAACACTGATCAGAAGACAAATGATGCTTGAGAAACTGGAGCATCTTTGTTGAAGTCTAAAGGGCAGTAGCAAAAGAGTGCTTCCTAAGTTTGTGATTAAAAACAATTGTAAGGGTTGGGGAGCTGGTTCAGGGGCAGGAGTCCTTGCTGCTCTTGCAGAGGACCCAGGTTTGGTTCCCAGCACATCAGGTGGCTCACAACCTCTAACTCCAGCTCCAGGGCATCTGAAATCTTCTTTTGCATGCCACTGGTACTTGAACATACATGTGCATGTACACAAGCACACATATTTACAAATGGAAATTTAAAATGAATCTTTATGAGAAAACAATTGCATAAATAGCATTAAGTAGAGTGTGAAGAACTGGGATCCCTGTGCACTTCTGGTCAAAAGGACAACAAACAGTTGTTCTGAGAACACTTGGAAGTCACATAAAAGTTAAAACAGAATTATCATATAACCAGCAATTCTACTTTTAGATTTTCAAAATACTCAAAGAACTCAAAGCAGGATCCTGGACGCGTACTTGTGCACCCCCACACAAAATGTAGCACGTACACTTCAGGACAAGGAATGGAGTTCTGATAAACGCTACAACACAGAGGAAACTCAGAAAATTTCTATGTTAAAAGAAATAAGCCAGACAGAAAGGGACAAAAATGTGTGATCCTACCAGAATGAGGGATCTGGAACAAGTAATTCCTAGAGATAAATTGTTGTTAGGGGGTAAAGGGCGGAAATAGTGAGCGATTTAATGGAGAGTTTCTGGAAGGGAACAGCAGGAATGTTTACCCAACAGTGGAAAGGTTCTTAGTGCTACTGAGCCTTTAATTCTAGCACTTAGGAGGCAAAGGCAGGCTGACCTCTGAGTTTGAGGCCAGCCTGGTCTGCAAAGTGAGGACAGTCAGGGTTACACAGAGAAACCCTGTCTCAAAAAACAAAGAACAAGTAGCTAAAAATAAACTTAATGCTACTGAACCACGTGCTTAAAATAGTTTACAAAGCTGCCTGCATATAACATACAACATATTTTACAATATATACTTTATAATAAAATTTATACCATTATTCAGAATTTAACTGGATAGTCAGTTTAAAAGACTGAATAGCAGAGTAACTGAATAATAAACACATACAGAACCCACAGAATGCAAATACATAATTCTTTCCAGAAGTGAGTGGACACACCTCCCACTGGGTGATCACGGCTTTGAGTTTCTGAATTTCAACGTCTTTCCTCTCGAGTTCTAATTTCAGTCTCTCAATTCTTCCATCTTTCAGACCCACTTCCTGAAGAAAAGAAAAACACTCCTTTGACCAATAGTGTTCCACCTGTCATTGTTCACAGCAGTCCTTTGTGAAAGGATTAAGAGGAAAAATAGACTTTATTTCTTAGGCAATTTTGAATTACTACATTTTTAGCTTTGCTCAAGTACATGATCCTAGTTTCATAGAGTAATAGCAATCGAGATTTCTATGACGAGCTGTAAGTATACGCTAGAACAATATCCAGCCCTAGAATCGACAATTCCATCCTAGAAAAAACACATGCAAAGGCACCCTGACAGGTTCTCACAGCCCTGGCTGTCTTGGAACTGTGTAGATCAGGCTGGCATTGAGCTTCAGAAACTCGCCTGCCTCTGCCTCCTGAGCACTGGGATTAAGGTGTGTGCTGCTTATTAAGGCCTGGTTCTGCTCTGAGGAATGTAACTGGGTTGTATTTTCCTAAAGATACACCTGATGTACACAGGTGCTCATGAGTAGTTTCTAGGTGCCAGGAAAAGGGACTAAAATCCTTTCTTTTCCTATGAAACATGTCTAGCACAGCGTGGGAACTTCACATAAAGTGCACATGACACACAGAAGCCAAGGCGGAAGCTGCTGTGCAGTGTCATGTGGGAGAGGGCACAGATGACTTGGTGTTGGGTGCGACAGCTGAGGTCCCAGTGTCTAGAAGGCTAACACACACCAGAGGACTACTTGAGCTCATGAGTTAAACCCAAGCAAGACAAAGGTCACTCTACATTTTTCTGAAAACACTGGAAATAGTTGTTTGGTTTTGTACCCATCTCACTGGAGGGTCTTGAGTTTCTGTGATTTCCCACCTGATAGTGTGGCTATCTTCCTATCTTGGGGGGGATTTTTTTTTTTTTTGCTCAGCCTTCTCTCCTCCCTGTCCTGGCTCTCTGTGCTGCCTGTCTGTGTCCAGAATCTATTTTTTCCTTATTCTGCTTTTCTTAAAAGCTTCAGTGGCTTGCACAGAGGTATTCTCAACCTGGTATCATGTGTAAATCTGGTATTATTTATTATATGTGTGTATTCATACATGCCTATGCATAGTCCATTCAGTCTGACTGACTTTGCTTTTATAAACAACTGCCTTTTATATAAAATCATGTATAAAATTACTACAGCACACAGGCATGGTGGCACACACCTTTAATCCCAGCACTCGGGAGGCAGAGGCAGGTGGATCTCTGTGAGTTCAAGACCAGCCTGGTCTACAGCGCTAGTTCCAGGACAGCCAGGGATGTTACACAGAGAAAACCTGTCTCGGGAAAAAAATGAAAAGAATGAATACAGCATAAATCATGTCCATCAGCCTTGGATTTAAAAGACACTGCCACACTGTTTCCCAAATGGCTACACCAATCTTCACTCTGCCTAGTGTGCTCTGCTACCTGTCTCCTCGAGACTAGCCCCACACACTCTTCAGATTCCTTCAGTTGTTCTGGGGCTCTGCAATAAAAGTACTAGTACTATATAAAAGTTTATTCTGCTCAAATATTTCCTAAATTCTTTCCTGTCTACAAACTAAATTACAAACTCAGTTTTGAGTATTCCACAGTCCTTTCCAATCTACCTTATCAAACTTACTCAACACTCTCTTTAATTGAGCTGGTTTCGATTTCACTGTGTCTGTATTTTTACTGAAGACATTTTAGCTTCTTTATCCTCATCTTTGCATGTTCAGATCCTTCTGTCCTGTTATCTTCCAACTCAAATGTTAACTTCTCTCCAGAAACCCATTCCTATTACACTAATGCACCTACTATTTTTGTACTCATGACACTTTTATCTATACAAAACAATTATCTATTAAATATATATTATGTACACATACTCTTCTAATTCCTAATAAGAAAAAACAACTATGCTTCAGTACAGTACACCTGCTCTCTTTCCGTCACACCCCACTGTCATTCAGGCTTTCCAAAGCACAGTGCCACCTGGCCCTCTAACACATTCACATACTCAGCTCAGTTCTACTGCCACAGAGAAAAGGGCTGCCCTCTCCAGCACCAGCTCCTAACTACACACAGCGCAGCATATGCTCCATAGTCGTTAGTGACGTAACTGCACATAATACATTATTCTTTGCAGAACGATGACTAAGATAATATCCTAAAACTGTTACTTTGTATAATTCGAGTTGAAATCTTCCATTTACTTACTTACTTACTTTCTTTTTTTAAAAGAGAACTTCTCTGTGATTTTAAGAGAATTTTTAAGAAGCTAGAGCTAATGGGCCAAGCAGCGATTTAATTAAAAAAGAGAGAGAGATTAAGAATTTTATTTTACATGCCTGGTTGTGCTCAGGAGCTGGACAATTCTCTGTTCCATTATGTTCTGTAAGCTGTTCTCTTCTCTTTTCTCTAATAAGAATCTTATGAACATCATCTTCCAGTCTATTGAAGAATCCCCCATCATGTGACAAAGTCTGAGAAGAATTCGATTCCTGTCAAAATAAATCATGAATTACTACCATTCCACACCAACGCACATACTCAACCCTGAGTCTCTCGGAGGACAGTGAAAGGGACTGACCGGCAGGAGTCAGACCATCGCTCTACCCGTCTCCAGCAGGGAAGCAGCAGACAGACACTTGCACCTGCCTTTTTCTTAGTACTTGGTATTTTGGAGTGTCATGATTGACAGGTTTTAGAGTCAGGGTTTTACTACAGAGCACAGACTGGTCTGGAACTTGTGATTCTCCTGCCTCAACTTCTCACATGCTGAAACCATGGCTCTCTAACATCATATCCAGGCTACTTGGCCTTTAAAGATTTTATTACACACACCACACAGTTCAGCCTGCTAGCATGTGAAAGACCCAGGTTTAATGTCCTCTTGAGAGCTGTACACCTGTCACCACAGACACCCGACACTCTTCTCCATCCTAGGCAACACTCACTTTCTGTCTCTATAAACCTATCTATTTGAGACATTTCATATAAACAGAATAATTGTGCTGTCTCAAACTTCTTTGATCTACAAATATGTCTACAAGATTCTTCCACATGATGACAAGGATTAGTACTTCATTTTTATTACCAAGTAACATCCCATTTTACATTTTTTCTTGTCACTGGTGGATAGATCTCTCTTTGGTTTATGAATAATGCTGCTATGAATATTTATCCACAAGATGTTTATGGACATGTTTCCAACTCTGTTTGGCATACACCTAGGAGTAAGGTTATTGGGTGGTGTGCAAAGCCTATGTTTAACCATTTGAAATCTTAAAAGCTAGTGCTCCAAGTAGCTTACTATTTTACAATCCTATCAACAACATGAGACAGTTCTGATTTCTGTATTCTCACCTATGTTATTATATTTTTACTGCAGACACCCTCCTGGAAGTGAACTATTTCTCCAGGGTTTGAGCTGCGTTTTCACCATGGCTATTGGAGCAGGCTGCTTTAATGTGTTACTAGACACTGTGTGAGAAACGTTTACTTTGAACCTTTGCTCATTTTTAACTGAGTTATTTGCTAACTCATGTTATAAGAATTTCTGTCTTCTGGCTAGAGAAAGAGTTCCTTGGCTGAGAGTGTGTACTGCTCTTGCAGAGGGCTTGAGCTCAGTTCCCAGCACCCACTCTGGGTGACTCACAACAGCCTAGAACTCCAGCTCCAGGGGATCTGACACCATCTTCTGGTCTCTGCACTTATGTGCACATATCTATTCCTCAGACATGTCTCCAGACATATATGCATATTTATATAAAGATCTAAAAGAACGAATTTAAGTAGTCTAAGAAGCTGATCATGGTGACAAGTGCATACAATCCCGGTTAGTGACAGAGGGCTATAAAGACCTGTCTTCCTAAGGACATCTGATTTTGTGAACTTCTCTGTCCCCTCCCATTCTCAAGTCTGTGAATAAAAGGGGTTTGATACCCCCTCAATACAGTAAAAGGGTTTGACACCCCCTCAATACAGTAATAAAAGGGTCTGATACCCCCTCAATACAGTAATAAAAGGGTCTGACACCCCCTCAATACAGTGATAAATGGGTTTGACACCCCGTCAATACAGTAATAAATGGGTTTGACACCCTGTCAATACAGTAATAAAAGGGTTTGACACCCCGTCAATACAGTAATAAAAGGGTTTGACACCCCGTCAATACAGTAATAAAAGGGTTTGACACCCTGTCAATACAGTAATAAGATAAAGAGCAACTGAGGAAGACACTGGACATTGACTTTTGGTCTCCAGAAACACACACATGCACACATACACACATACATGAACATGTACACATACAAAAACTTATGTATTTTAAATAAACATCTCATCAAATATTATTTTTAAATATTTTCCCTCCTTAACGGTTGCCTTAGCAAGTTTTTTATGTCCTCTATATAATACAAAAGTTTTAGTTGCTTTTTATTTCTTAGTTTTTTGAGACAGGGTTTCTTTGTCTAGCTTTGGAAGTTGTCCTGGAAATAGCTCTTGTAGACCAGGCTGGCCTCAAACTCACAGAGATCTGTCTGCCTCTGCCTCCCGAGTGCTGGGATTAAAGGCATGTGCCACAACCACCCGGCGGTTTTAGGTTTTACATACTTCTGTGATCCACTTTGAGTTAGTTTCTGTGTATGATGCGCAGAAGACACCCAAATTTTTTCATATTGAATTGTCTTGGCACTCATACTCAAAAAAAAATCAAGAAAATACAGATATCAAGGCTTATTTCTGTGCTTTTAATTCCATCAGCCTCTACATCCATTCTCAAGACTCAATTCTCAGTGTCAAACTGACCTGATCACTACAGCGCTGTGTTTGCACTGTTTTGTGCTACATTTAGAAGTCATTTTGACACTGGACGGTGGTGGTGCACACCTTTAACTGCAGCATTAGGAGGCAGAGGCGGGCAGATCTCTGTGAGTTCAAGGCCAGCCTGGTCTACAAAGTAAGTTCTTGGATAGGTAGGGCTACACAGGGAAACTTTGTCTTGAAAAACCAACACCAAAACAAAACAAAGTCATTTTGACATAAACTGTGCATATAAATAAATATATTAAAGAGATGTGATTTTAACACCAACTATCAAATTACTTAGACTTGGAGAGTTTACACATTCTCTAATAGAAATAGGATTTTCTCTCTTGCTGTCAAGCACAGAGACTAAAGGAAATTCTCCTGTCCCCACAGATCTCCCCTCAATCCCACACTCTCAGGCTACAGTACTGAGTTTTACCAGGTTCAACTGTATTTATAAACAGTAATACGCAGTTAAATGGCTGCTCACTGTTTTACCTCCATTACACCTAAGAAAGTGAAGTGTTTAAACGAAAACTTACTTGTACATCAGTACAAATGAGATAGGTTCTAGCTACCTGAAGAGACCGTCATGTTCTACAGAGCAATAAGATACTGCTTTACCTGAGTTTCATAAACACCAGGAGAGGCTGACAGAGCAATCAAGGCCTGGAATGCCCAGGAGCCACCACCAAGTGGCACAGACATAATTCCAAATTTGCTTCATAAAGCACTTCCACTATGCTCTGGTAAGATCTCATTTACAGTATAAAACAGCGCTGAGCTTCCATGGAAGGATCAGCAGGCTGATGACAACCAGCCCAGCTCTGGATTTACACTAGTACCTGCCCCGTATGCTGGGGTCACGGGCGTGCTCACCGTGCCTACCATCTTCTGACTGTGGCTCCTCTCACCCAGAACAATTCAGCCCCTTAGTATTTCTGAGTGACACACACATAAAACGCACTTAACACTGGCAAAACGAGTTAAGAAGACTGTTCAAAGATGATACCAGAATTCTGACAAGCACATGAAAACATACCCATTAGGTATCATGAAGATGCAACTGAAATTCAGTGAACACATTACCTTCCCACTAGAGACAGTATTAGTGAAATTCAGTGGACACGTTACCTTCCCACTAGAGACAGTATTAGTGAAATTCAGTGGACACGTTACATTCCCACTAGAGACAGTATTAGTGAGATTCAGTAGACATGTTACCTTCCCACTAGAGACAGTACTAAGTGCTGGTAAAGATGTGTAGAAACCAGAACTTCTCACACACCTTTCTTTAAAACAACCTAACAGGCTGTAAACAGTTTCAACCAGGACTCCTGATGCAGGCCTACTATCCCAGATAGTGCAAGGCTAAAGCGTGATAATCAGGTCAAAACTTGCCTGAAATACACAGGGTTCAAAGTCAGCCTAGGTAACTTAGTAATATCATGCTTGAAAAGCTAAGAAGCCTTCGAATGTAACTTAGTACACGCTTGCCTAGCTGCTCAAGGCCCTGGGCTCGAGACCTAGGACATTACAAAGAGGCAAATATTTTCAATGCCTTCCTCTGCAAAAAAGAAAAAATAAATTACACAGCCTAGCAATTTCATCCCTAGAGAGAAATAAAAACACAAACCACATAAATATTATCTCTAGTCTATAACTGAACACAAAATATTTCCACAATGTTCAGCAACAAAACTAAATCAACTATTATTTGCTTGTTTGAGACAGGGTCTCACTCTGTAGTGCAGGCTGGTGTGGAATTACGTAGACCAGGACGGCCTTGTCTCCTCAGTGTCGGGATACAGTGTGCAGCTATGTTTAGCTGAATGAACTACTGATGAACCACAACACAAATCAACCTAAAAACACTATGCCAAGTGAAAAAGTCAATCATAAAAGACCACACTGAGAAAATGCAAATCTGTAGAAATAAAAACCAGAATATTTATTGCCAGGGACTTAAGAGGGGAGTATAAGGAACCTCTGGAGGATTATAGAAAATTTTAAATCTATACTGTGAGTATAGCCATATAACTCCTTAAATACACTATAAATGGGGCTGGGAGTTTAGCTCAATGGTAGAGCAACTGCTTAATATATCTGAGATCCCAGTTGACTGTCTATCTGTCTTTGTTCATGACTTAGTTATATACGTGCAATGGTAAATTTGATACAAATTCTATAACTCAATAAAGCTGTTATTTTAAATTATATTTTGTTTACTGATGGGAGTAGAAGTCAGAGGATAACTTGTTTTCTGCAAGAGTTAGTACTCTTGTTATGTGGGCCCAGGGATTGAACTGGAATCTCCAGGCTTGGCAGCAATTGCTTTCCTATGAGCTACAATACCAGTCAGTAAAACTGCTTGCAAAAAAGCCACCCATGACCTTGTTCTCTTGAAAACCGGAGCATGACATAGCTGTGCCTGTGCCCTTTGCAATCTCCCGCACTCATCTTCTTGCCTCCACAAAGTAACCATGACCCTGAACTGAGTGTTTATCAACCTCTATCTTTGTTATTAGGCAACAGCACTAAACAACATAACTTCATTCTATGTGTTTTATCTCACCTGTACACTTCTTGGCTTAGGTATTCTGCATTAGGGACACCATGGCATAATCTGAATACGGCCTGCACATTACAGTTGGTGATCTCTCAAGTCTCTTCTAATCTAGAACACAACCCTTTGCACAACCCATTTTTTCTTCACATGGTCTTGTTGGAGAGACCAGGTGAGGTGTTGGACAAAAAACTCATTCCCCAGATTTGCTGGGAATCAACATAGGGCTTTATTCACAGCAGGCAAATGCTCCATCGTCAGCAACATCTCCAGCTGCTCAAGTGCTTCTTTTAGGCAGTGTTTCACTTATACATCTGAGCCCTGAACCTCATGTAGCATAGATACCCCCTCTTAAGGCTTGACTTATATTTAGGTTAAGCACTATTTTGACCACACTTATTTTGGTTTATCCTTAAATTGTATCATTACTTCATAAAACTCTGTGTAATTATCCTAAAGTACATATTCTACTAACGATAAACATCTGGATTTATTCTAGTCTTTTCTTGGGTAAGATAAAGAGTAGGCCTGCTATCACACATAAATACCAACACTTATGTACATGATTCCCAGGTGGTCACATATGTAAGTTTCTCATCTATAATGTATCTCTGTATATTTGCGCATTTCTACACAACTGGACATCAGGCATCCTTCTCTGTAATTTCCTGCCTATTCCTTACGGCAGGCTCTCTGATCCTGGAGCTTGTTTCATCTCAGTCAAGCTGAACTCAGGCCTTCAGGACTGCACTATGACAACTCCACCACCGAGCATCTCTTCAGCCTAACGTTTTCTGATTTCTAAGGGTTCCATGTAACCCCTTAACATTCAGCTCTATAACTTAAAGATTTCTTAATGCACTACAATAAACAATCTTCACAATGGTCCATTTATACATGCTACTCCCCCACTAGTCAAGTATTTGTAACATATTCCAAGCAGCTGCCACCTAATGGTGTTCCTCACATGAGCGACCACAGATGACACTAGTCATTTCCTTCCTCCCACCACTTGGTCTAGAGGATCAGATTCAGTTGTCAGGCTTGGCAGCAAGCACCTTCCTGTGCTGAGACCCCTTGCCAAGATTTTTTTGGATTTTTCTGTTGTTTTGGTTTTGACTCACAGCGTCTTGCTATACAGCTCAGGCTTGCCTTGAACCAAACTCCCCTGCCTTTGCCTCTCAGTGTGAGATCTATAAAGTGATACATGCAGAGGTCAGGTGACAAGCTGTAAGGGTCAGTTCTTCTCCACCATGTGGGTCCACAGAGGTGGAAAGCAACTAAGGAACAACATCTGCACTTATTTCCTGGCCTCCACACACAACATGCACACACATGCATGAACACACACACATGAACACCTGTGCACACACACTTGTGAACACACATGCCTTCCCCAAAACAAAAGAATGAACACAATACAAACACAAAAATTAGCACCAGGCAGTGCACACTTTTAATCCCAGCACTCGGGAGGCAGAAGCGGGTGGATCTCTGCATTTGAGGCCAGTCTGGTCTACAGAGTGAGTTCCAGAACAGCCAGAGCTACACAGAAAAGCCATGTCTCAAAAACTAATAATACTAATACAAAAATAAAATATAGATTTGGAGACTAAATCACTTCTTTGAATTTTAAGTTTATATTTAGACACAGATTAGGGTAGTAATGCCAAATGAAACTAGTTTATGCAAATAATCACTTTTATTCTCTTGTATCGATATCCTTATAAAACCAGAAACATAATGAGACAAACCTTTGTCTCAGAACAGATCTACTGCTAATCACTACAGTACCACTCTTCAGTATGTTCTAGACTACTGGACACTCATAGTGAAACTTACCTCTGTCTTTTTACTATTATGATCTGCAAATGAAAAAAGAAAAGTTTTACTGGGAAGAATTAACAAATATTTAACATGTAAAAAAAACACAAAGTATCCAAAAGAATGTTAAAACTGTGAAGAGTTATAAACAGAATTTTCTGAGATTCATATCTGATTGACTTTCAGAATGTTAAAATCCAGCAGAGACCGGCTGGTTTGTTCAGCTCTGGGACTACATCTTATATCCTAGGAGATGCTACCACACGGAGGGTGTTACTAGATATTAAGCATGTGAGTTTTATACATAACTCAGTTCTATGTCATATAGATATATCTATGTCAAAAATCAAATCATAGAGAACTATCAACTGAAAATGTTCAGATGACTGTCTTTGCTGAATAAAATGAAAAACATTTGATGTCCTTAAAAGCTATTGGCTATATTATTTTAAAGATACACATGGTGATTTGCTTGCACTGTAATGAAATCCTTAGCAAATTTATAATACATATGTACAGATGTGCATTTATAGAATTTATAATACATATGTACAGGCATGCATTTATAGAATTTATAGTACATATGTACAGATGTGTACGCATAGGATTTATAGTACACATATACAGATGTGCATTTAGAATTTATAGTACATATGTACAGGTGTGCATTTATAGGATCTATAGTACATATGTACAGATGTGTATTTATAGGATCTATAGTACATATGTACAGATGTGCATTTATAGAATTCATAGTACATATGTACAGATGTGCATGCATAGGATTTATACTACACATGTACAGATGTGCATTTATAGGACTTATGGTACATGTATACAGATGTACATTTATAGGATTTAACAATGGAACAGTAACAAATTACACATGAAACAAACCATGGACAAGAAACCCCCACACAGCTCTTCTAGGTAGGAGTGAACGAGAACAGGGTAAGGGGAACAGCTTAATCTGAAGCACAAGCAGGACTAAATACTGGGATGTAAGGGTGATTGGAAGAGTAGGTACTTGCATGAGTCAGGGTAATGAGGCTAACGTTGTATACAATGTTCTTGTATACAAACATTTATCCCCTCTCAAAGAATAACCTGATAGAATTCCCCCCACTCCCCGATACAGAGTTTCTCTGTGTGACCCTGGCTGTTCTGGAACTCACTTTGTAGAACTCACTCAGTTCAGGCTGGCTCTGAACTCAAAGATCCGCCTACCTCTGCCTCCTGAGGGCTGGGATTAAGACGTGCACCACCACAGTTCCAGATTAGCTCTTTTTTATGACCAACAATTTGAAAGCTGGTCTCATTTTCTACATCATTTGTTTGTCAGAACAGTGTAAAACATGTTCAATATCAAAGTCATTGATTTACATCAAACTACCAAATCATCTTTCTTCTGGAGTGCTCTACTCCGTAGGATGACGCCATCACCCTGGGAAAGCACAGCTGTGGCCATCACAACTTGTAAACGTATGTAGCTTACCTTTCTATACTCTCAATGAGCTAATAAGTTTGCTTACAACTTGAGAAATCAAACACACAGAAAACAGGAGTTTCAGAGAAGTATTTTGAACATGTATTTTGTCTTATGTATTTCAGGCTGACTTCCAATGCATTATGCAGTTGAGGAGGAAACTGGACTTACCTTCCTGCCTCCACCTCTCCTATGCTAGTACCACAGGAGCATCCTGTGAAACTCACTGCATGTGGTGCTAGGAATCAAACTTAAGAGTTTCCTGTATGGCAGACAAGCTCACTACCAAGTGAGATGCATCGCTAACCCCTAGCAAGTACACTTCTGCCTAAATTTTAATAAAATTTCTTTTTCAAAAAGTTTGGTCTGGAGATATGGCACAGTGATTAAGAGTACTGGTTGTTCTTTCAGAGGACCTGGGTTGGATTCCTAGCATCTACAGTCACCTGGAACTCCTGCGCCTGGGGACTAATGTCTGTTTCTGACCTCCACAGGAACCAGGCAAATATGTGGTGAACAGATATACATCTAGACAAAATATTCTTACAATAAAAATAAGGATAAAAAATGTATTATCTTATTCTCTGTACATGGGTGTTTTGCCCGCATGTATGTCTGTGTACCATGTCTGAGTGGTGCTCAAGGAGGACAGAAGAGGGCACTGGTATCCCTGGAACTATAGTGACTGGAGACAGTGACTGCCTTAACTTCCCTTAACTACTGCGCTTCTCCGTAAACCCAAAATTTATTATATAAACGGTTCTTCTGGGTAAATATGGACATTTTACTTTAACGTGCATGGTTCATCCCTAAACCAAGTAACTTACTTATACTACCCTTGTAGAATATTATTTTAAGGTATGTTTTTTCGTTTTGTTTATGCTCTGGACCATTTGTTTAATGATGCAAAGATGTGTTTGATTAAATAAAATTCACCTGCAGTCAGGAGGCTGCGTCAGCAACTGGCTAATAGAAGTTGTAGTGAGGAGCCAGGCAGCAAGCTAAGTGAGCTGCTTGCTGTTCAGCCTGTCTGAGGAGCAGAACTCTACCTTAACCTTTGAATCCTGAGTTCTTTAGAGGAACAGAGATATAGTTAAGTTCCCTTAGTAGCTTTGAAAGAGTGGGTGCCTGAGGGAACAGAATTTCCTCAGGCTGTTGGTAGCCGTGGAGTTGCAGTTGCTGACTAGGGTAGTCATAGCTTAAAAGGCAGCAACAATTAAAGAGGACCACGGACTATAGAAAATTTCCTTCCTTTTTAGAATTTCCTTGTGTGCATTGTGTCCACATGTGTGCAATGCCAATAGAGACCAGAAGAGGGAGTCATATATCCTGGCACCAAGTTACTGGTAGTTGTGAGCTGCCTGACATGGGTGCTGGGACTGGAACTCAGCTCCTCTGTAAGAGAAGCAAGAACTCAACTTCTAAGCCATCTCTCCAGCCTCAGAAGAACTTTCTTGATCCTCAAGTGAAAGCAAAACCTCTCTAAGTTTACTCTTAGTTTTACAGAAAAGCTGGTATTTGAAGATGTATTTAGATTTTTCATAGTTATTATTACCATCTATTTAGGATAATAAGGAAATACAGGTTAGTAATTAGTCATCTATTATAATCAAACTTGTAATCATATTAGGTCAAACAGATATATTTTATACAAGTCATCTTCAAACACTTCAGAGATCTACAGAATATGACATTTAAGATATTTTAATAACATAGATTCTTTTTTTATGACAATAAAACATGTCTGCTCCTGGCAGCACCAATCTACGTCAGAGAAGATGATGGGCACTGAAGAAAGTCCACATGGAGTTTACTTTCTCTATGGCAATAGTAGGCCACTGGGCAAGAAAGTGCCCTTCCATCAACTGCTTACGGTATGCTGGCCAAATTGGACAAGCAGGACACAGAAGAGAGTGACTGCCAAACCTTGTCAAGACAAGGCAGGAAGGTCCTTCAAAAACTGTGCTTCATAGAAAAATCTATCAGATATGCTAGGCCTGTAAGCATAACATGTGTGCCCCAACCTTGTGTGACTGTCAAGGCAGCCGGCTCTTTTTGTCATTGCTCTCATTTTTTGGAAGTCACTTGTTTGCACTTCCTGCTTACTTGGTTAATATTATTTCCGTTTCAGGTCTCTGAGGGAGTTGAAGACTAGACAGTTAAAGTTTTCCTTGTTTACTAGATGCAGAAAAGAAACTCGCTGAAGAGGTATAAAGTGGGGGCTGGAGAGATGGCTCAGAGGTTAAGAGCATTGACTGCTCTTCCAGAGGTTATGAGTTCAATTCCCAGCAACCACATGGTGGGTCACAACCATCTACAAAGAGATCCGATGCCCTCTTGTGGTGTGCAGGCAAACATACAGTCAGAACATTGTATATATGATAAATAATAATAAATAAAAGATAAATAAATCTTTTAAAAAAAGAGGTGTAAAGTGTAAGACTGAGAGATAAGATAGTTTTGAATGGTAATGCAAGTTAGGATAGAAAGTTAATTAGGTACAAGACTTTGGATTCACCAAGTTAGGACAGAAAATGGAGAACTTTCCCTGAATTTGTCAATTGCAAATGGACTAGACATTGTTGATATATTCACAGATTATATATATATTGTATATAGTTATTGTACTTATTATATAATTTTTCTTATATTAGTTATATCTTTTATTTTAGACAAAAAGGGGAAACGTGGTGGAGATAAAAAGGGGAAATGTGGTGGAAATGTGTTCATGCTCTAACAAATAAAACTTGCCTGAAGATTAGAGTGCAGAGCTGAGTCACTGAAGGCCAGGCAGTGGTGACACTTGTAAGGATCTCTGTGAGTTCAAGGCCACCCCGGGCCACATGAGATTGAATCTCTCTAGAAGAAAAACAGAGCTCACACAAAGGTGATGCCAGCACTTGGGATTCCACACCTTTAATCCCAGCACCAGGGAGATGGAGACAGGAGTGATATGGCTGGGCAGAGAGGGGAATATAAAGTGGGAGAAGACAGGAGCTTGGATTCAGTTCGAGGTTTTGTAGAGACAGCATTCAATTAGAGAACGTGTAGGAACAGGATTGCCCTTTCCGTCTGAGGTAGAAGTAAGGACTAGTGGCCGCTGCTGTGCTTCTCTCACCTCTCAGGGTTAACCTCTGTATCTGACTCTGGGTTTTTATTATTTAGACCAACTAGAATTCGTGGTATAAAAGATAAGGACTTTAAGACCTAAACAAGAAAATTATTGAATATATTCAACAACTAGACAAGGAAGTTACAAAGTGGATAAAACAATCAGCAACTTAGAGGAAAAATTCCCTAGAGAAGAGAAGGTGATTCCTATGGTTCTGGAAGCCTCACACGGCCTGTCCTTAGGCTATATAAGCAGCAGAGTTGCCTTAGATAGAGTCGCCTGTCGTTTAGACAGTGATGTCACCGGGGCTGAGGTGGCTTCTGGTGATGCAGCTGTCAAAAAGTCACCAGTGTTCCTTCAGGTGACCTCTCACCTGAGCTTCTGTAAGAAAACCCAATGATGTCATTTTGGTTTGCTATTGATGTCCTCTCCTCCTCAGGAAGTTACTCAGCACTTTCTCTCTGGCCCTTTGGCCTCCTACCACTTGAGCAGCAGGCACGACTCTGACAGACTCTGGCCTCTCGACACTGACCCGTGAACCAGTGCATTTCTGTTTGCTGGAAATTACCTACCACAGGAATACAAAATGAACTAACATGGCTTACATTTTTATACTCTACATGGTAAACCTAACCTAACCAAAGTCGGAAAAGCACTCCTGACTATAAAAAGGCTCAGTTGGTAGATCCTGTTCAGCATGAACCAGCTTCTGGGCCTAACCCCCAGCACCACATCAACTAGACTGAGGCAGAGGCAGGAGGTCAGTGCGGCTCTAGAGAAGCAGGCAGGCACACCTTACCTTCACACTGAAAATCCTTCAAGGACACTGTGAGAGGTCTGTCCTTCCCCTGCTGGGTCTTCCTCTTATCTTTTTTATTTACACCTTTGGACTGAGTTGAAGCATTTTCAACATTTTCATAATCCTAAAAAGAATTACCAACAGTAATTAAGTTTGGTTTACAAAAAATAACATCAGTTCCTCAGTATGTTTCTTAATGTTTTACTATTAAAGATTAAAGGAAAAAAAAACCCTGAAAATTTAGACCAGCAAAATTGTATGAAAATTTCTAATTAGTTATTGTTAATTTTCTCAACTGAAAACACTGAAGTAAAAATATCACAGATTGGTTTATAAACCTCCCCCACTGCCAACTTCTAATTCTTTCCTTCAGGACTAAATTTAAGACAATGATCTACAATTTCCGACCTCACACCCTGAAATGGGGATTGTGTTAGTCTCTGACACTAACACTGCCACCAGCTTTCTCTTAATTACCAAATCTAAAAGATAATTTTTTGAGATTTCAGTAAATTATTTTTTCCCCTTTTTAATTGATTTTATTGAGCTTTACATTTTTCTCTGCTCCTGTCCCTTCCTCTTCCCTCCCCTTCCACCCCCTCTGTCCCCACGCTCCCAGTGCACCCAGGAGATCTAAGACAACATCCTTGGTCACCAGTCATACATGTAGGCAAACACCTATACATGAAAAATAAAAATATTTTTTAAAAAAACATAAGTTGGTTAAAGAAGAGGGCACTAGATCCCTTGGAACTGGAGTTACAGGTGGTTGTGACTACCATGTGGGTTCTGGGAATGGAACACTGGTCCTCTGAAAGAGCAGCCAGTACTCTTAACCACCAAACCAGCCCCTAGCTCCATACATTTTTCAAAAATGGTTTTCTCCATGCATTTATAATGACTTGGGTGTCCACTGCTGCCTTCTTTTCCCAGCCCTCCTCATAAGAACATAGCTGTCATGCAGCATACCCACTTCACTTACACACTCTTCAACACCCAAGTTCCCACTTTTACACCAAAGATTTCTCTATGTACAGACACTGGCTATTTCCACCAACAACCCTGACTTCCCACTTGATCCCCTACTACGAGCTTGGCCAAGCCGTCCTCTACAGCGCTATCAGCTATAAGTCACATCTTCTATGCAAATGAGCCCTTCCGTTAGTTACTACGTCTTAGCTCAGCGAGTTTATTTCCTAAGGATCTC